GAACGTATCATGCGGAAAGGGAGCCTGGATTCGTATTTAATCGGACAGTGTTATACATTCAAATTCCCGTTCTTTCCATGCAGGCTTTCAAGGTTCTCATTGTGAGGCAAACATCGATGACTGTGTTGGTGTCACCTGCCTCAATGGAGGTTCCTGCGTGGATGGTGTAAATGAATGGTTCTGCCGCTGTCCTGCTGGGTACTCAGGGCGCCACTGTGAATTACACCAACTAATCCCTGTGAGTGGTGGATTAGGCAGCGTTGCAGTGGCTGACCCAACTATCATCACAACTTGTCACAGCGGCAAGATCTGCCTCCATAATGGAGTTTGTATACGTCCCGCTGCTACGTTCAACGCTGTTGAGGCCTTTTGCGACTGTCCTTTAGAGTGGTATGGCGAGTTCTGTGAGATTCCCGTTTGCTCGGAGGATGTCTGTGCCAATGGGGGTCGGTGTCGGGCCTTGCTAAACCGTCCTGGCGACCAGACTACTCCCTCGATGAAGGAGTCTTATTGTGAATGTCCACCAGGATTCTTTGGAAAGCATTGCTTAGAAAAGGTAATTTTTGTTCGTGGTTATCAGTTCGCAATTCTAATCGCTTTTTGTTCAGGATGGTTACTATAGTTGTGCTTGTTGCATTGCCTTTATGGGGAAGTATTTACAAGTTAGCATTTCAAAGGTTCAAAAAAGCACTGGTCTAATGGTGCGGTGAAGAGCAGATCGTGTTGCTAGACTGTGTTCAACACAAATCGTTAAAATTTACTTAGAAGTATTGGTGGTACTAAACTGCTAAGAAGATGACAATTTGTTTACATCGACTTATTTTGGCCAGCTACTGCTTAGCCTTTTGTTTTGTGCGGAGAAAGGTGCCTGTCTTTGACTGTCCTTGAATGCACGCCGAATAGGGGGTGATGAATGGAGTCGTTAATGTGGAGGATATTTTTATGTCTATCTGGAAAAACAAAACTGTTCAACAAGGTGATTCCTATTGTCGTCGATTTGCTGCAGTAATTATTTTGGTGTGAAATTGATTAGCTCAACCGAAATGAGGTATTGGCGGGTACGAAGCTAGCAGTCAAGATCGAAAACCAGTCTTGCTTGCACTCTTGTTCATTCCTCACGTCCTAAAATCGGTTTGTCAAGCACCACCGGTATTGACAGCATGCCTGGTTTATCGATTCACTTTCATAAACTCCGTTAGTCTGTTGTGAGCATTAACAACAGAAGCTGATGTTCTCTAGAAGTACTGGCAAGAAATG